AATATATGAGATAGACGCGTTACATGCAAAGCGAGATATGTCAAGCCTTACTTTGGTATAACTGTGATGATTATGGCATGCAGCTTATGAAAACCCCAAATTCACAATCTCAGAAAATTAGAATAGTGTGAAAAGGTTCAATATTCTAGGCTCAAAGTGTCCCACTCTAATCAGCTAATGAATCCATAACACCTGCAAAGGGTTCCTGAGCCTTTAAATGGTCTCTCAGGCTGGGTTCAGCTCATATATTGGTTTCACCTTTTGAGTTGCCTTACTGACATAAATGAACATTTGCACGATATTAACCCCAAATTCACAATCTCAGAAAATTAGAATAGTGTGAAAAGGTTCAATATTCTAGGCTCAAAGTGTCCCACTCTAATCAGCTAATGAATCCATAACACCTGCAAAGGGTTCCTGAGCCTTTAAATGGTCTCTCAGGCTGGGTTCAGCTCATATATTGGTTTCACCTTTTGAGTTGCCTTACTGACATAAATGAACATTTGCACGATATTAACCCCAAATTCACAATCTCAGAAAATTAGAATAGTGTGAAAAGGTTCAATATTCTAGGCTCAAAGTGTCCCACTCTAATCAGCTAATGAATCCATAACACCTGCAAAGGGTTCCTGAGCCTTTAAATGGTCTCTCAGGCTGGGTTCAGCTCATATATTGGTTTCACCTTTTGAGTTGCCTTACTGACATAAATGAACATTTGCACGATATTGAGTGGGACACTTTGAGCCTAGAATATTGAACCTTTTCACACTATTCTAATTTTCTGAGATTGTGAATTTGGGGTTTTCATAAGCTGTACGCCATAATCATCACAATTATATCAAAGTAAGGCTTGACATATCTCGCTTTGCATGTAATGAGTCTATCTCATATATTGGTTTCACCTTTAGAGTTGCCATACTGACATAATTGAACATTTGCACGATATTCTAATTTTTTGAGGTTCACCTGTACGTATTTTAATTGCTTCTGTTGGGCTAACTAAAGTTATGTATATCAGCCATAGGAGGGCGCCAGAATATTACTTATTAAAATGTGTGTGTGTGTGTTTTTTTAGAATTAATCAGAATAAAATTACATAGATAGCAAATACCTAACTGGGAGACAGTTTGCAAAATACTGAATGATCATATTCTTAGCTATGAATCGACTTCTTATCAATTAAATAATTGTTGTATTTCAGTGTGTTGGTTCTCTAAACTAGAAAAGTTGTCACAATCCTACATTTCAGAATATTTTTATACATTTTATTTGTATCGTGACTCAAAATGCTTCTTTCATCTAACATTAATTTGATTTACATATTGATTACATTGTTCTTTAATTTTTTAGCATAATAATCTGCAATTATCTAGTCTGTAACCTTTCCATTTAAGAGTTTGAGGATGGGACAAGACAATCTTTATATAATGTATTACTGAATATTAGTAAAGTCAGTCTGAAACAGAAAACAAAAACGATACAGGAAATTGTATGATGAAGGTTATATGTAGAGAGCTTCTGTAAAGTATCATAATAAAAAACAAAAATTGTTCTGTAATGGTATAGGAATGGGAATGACATTTCATAAATCTGAATTACAAATTAGTTTGTGGTCTGAAAATCTTTTTGGGGGCTTTAAAACATTATGGGCTTCTATTATTTCGTACCGAAATATATATATTCAGAGAAAATGTGAATTAATAACATAGCTGCCAGTATCTTTCTCATCTGCCAGTGGCCAAGCAATTCAGTATGTTTTCTGCATACTGAATTTCTTATTGGTGGTAATTAATGAATTAGTGATGTTAATGATCAGGGATGCTATTGGATTTATGGATTTAAGTTTATCTTTTTATTGGGTACATCCATTTTGTTGTAAGTTGCCTAAAGTTGGCAGTGAGTTTTGTATTACTTGTCTGAAATGCTAAATTATCCTATCTGGAACTTGTTTATCCCAGAAGGCAAATAGGGAGGGAGGATGTTGTGGCAAGTTTGAATTTGTAAAAAAGGCTTTGTAAATAGGTCAAGAAACTTAGAATATTTTTGTAAATAAAGCAAAATATAAATCAACATTTATTTTGGAATGAAATGCTTCATTTATATTTAATTTTATTACTGTGCACTTGATTCCTTTGGCCTGTAAGAATATTGCCAAGTACATTTCTTAAAATACTTTTTGTTTGTTTTGTTTTGGGTTTGTTTTTTTTAAGTGTCTACTATTTGGCCTACTCCTTACCAACTTGGTGTAGAAACATGAATTCAGTGCCCAAGAGATTTATTATTTTCTCATGTGAAAATATTTGCTAACATTCCAGGTTTGTCCTTTCTGTACATATAAAGTAAATCTCCACCTCCATTTAATATTTAAAAAGTTATTTAGGATATCCACTGTAATTTTGAATTTTAATTTTTTGGATTTTTATTTTTATATCATATACATACACACACAAATACACATACAGGTAGTCCTTAGTTAACGACCTCTTATTCAGTGACCGTTCAAAGTTATGCATTCCTCTTTCAACACACTGAAGATGAATGAGCAGATTTTCTGTTGACTTGATAAACAATTGCAAATGTTTCTTTTAGTTGCTATCTCAATTTTATGAGTTTTATAAAAATTGTGGATCAGTTCTCTTTTGCTTACTGCTGTAGTTGAACATCTGTAAACATTAGACATTTAGGTTTACTGATTCCTTCTGAGAAGATAAATACAGTACACATGTGTCTATCAATTATTTGACAGTAGTGTTCACCTTGCTTAAAAACATTCTAATGAAAAGGAATTGGATTTTTTTTTCTTGTGACTGAATTCAGGTAGATGCTCTTCGGTTACGTCTGGAAGAGAAGGAGACAATGCTGAATAAAAAGACTAAGCAAATTCAAGAGATGGCTGAGGAGAAGGGAACTCAAGCTGGAGAGATTCATGATCTTAAGGATATGCTTGATGTGAAAGAACGCAAGGTTAACATTCTTCAAAAAAAGGTAAGCTCACCAAGCATTAAAATTGCTAAAACTGAACTCTTTTATTTTCACCAGAATGTAGTATCCTTAGCTGTAAAGTTGCTTTCTGAAGCTCTTGATTGAGGCTTTTGTTTTAAAGGGAGCTTTAGTAATAATGAACATTTGTTTGTTTGTTTGTTTGTTTGTTTATTATAACTGGCAGAAAAACAGCAAAGTAAATCCATAATAATTAACAGTGATTCCTATGCTACATTAGGAATAAATGAAATGTAATCAATGAATTTCTGGATAAGAGATCCATCTGATTAGTCTCAACTGTATTCACTGTAATACTCACTGAGTAGCAGATTCTGCATCACTTCCTAGAATGATTGTGAGATCACCATGAATATATATGATATTTCATGCACATTGTGCAAATCACACATACAGATTTTCAGAGAATTGTCTAGGGCTATTCTGGTTCTTTAGCTGTAAAAGTAGTGATTTCATACACATCTTGAGGAAATATTTTCTATTTGCAGAAACTTTCAGCAAATGTGTCTCCCTCACTTGCTTCACAACCATCATATTGATAACACCACTGAAAACATTCTGTGAGCTAATTTTTTTCCCTTGATCAAGTTCCTATTGAAATTATTATCTCTAAGGATAATTTTATTTTATTTTTCTTTATTTTTTCTTGCCGCATAGTTACTCTAGTTTCTCAGGACCATAGCACAGGGCTTTCAGTTTTAAAAACTTGTGATCGTGGATGCTTACCACATAAAGCCATAAGCATTAGATTTGTTGGAAAAGAAGCACAAGTTAACCATTGTTTTTGTTGCTAGACGTTTTTGAACTAATCATGCTTAATGCATAATAATTAACCTGCTTCCTTCCAGATGTTTTGGGTATAACCCCACCTTTAATAATACAGGCAGTGGTCAGGAATCATGGAATTATAGTTCAAAGATCTGGAGGAACCCATGTTTCAAGTACTTCATTGAGCAAAAAAGTGGGATATAAATTGAATAAATAAATAAATCCATTCTAGATATTCTGAGGAGCTTTTTCTGTTGGTTTTCTTTTCTTCTAGTCTCCTCAGCTAAGTGGTCAGAGTTGCCCAGCCCAAGTCTGGGGGAAAAAAATGGCTTCACAGTAACCTGTCAAGATAACTACAATAAGACTGGGGCATATATCTTATAGCTCAAGATATTCAAGGTCTTAGTTACAAAGTGTTTAAGAGTATTATAATCCTTTCTTGCAATGGAATGGAATGTCAGAATTACCTTGGAAGACAGCGGGGGGTGGGGGAGATGCTGCTGAGAGGATGATCTGATAAAAGGAGAAAGAGCCCCTGACTGAGTAACAGACAGAGAAAGAAACTTAACTGAACAGGTGATAAATAGGGACAGCAGGAGATTTGTACTTTCAAGCTTGCAAGATTCTGTTAATGTAGCCTATCAATAAAGTAGAAATAGCTCATCTGGTCGTGTTTCCTGTCTGGTTTACCTGGGAGCACTGACAGTAAAAGAAGTCTTAGTCATTTTGGATTATGTGTACTAAACTAAATTCTCATTAAATTAAAACATCGTTCTGAGTATCAGTATCTCAGTCAATTTCTTTGTTGAAGTTTAAGTGCCTGTTAGTAATTATATTCAGTATTAGTTTAAGAGGACAGGATTTTGATTGTTAGAGCAATAGGAATACTGTAAAACATGCAGAGAGCCTTTTTTTGCTTACTGTTAATTCATGTTGTTATACTTACATTCTACTATATTTTAACATACATAAGCATTACAGAACTAAAATGCTCATAGGTAGTCCTCGCTATCTGACCACAATAGGGACCAGAATTTAGGTCACTAAACGATTTGGTCATTAAGTGAATCAGAGCTGATTTTACAACGGTCATTAAGCAAATCGCATGGTTGTTAAGCGAATCCAGCTTCCCCAATGGACGTTTTTGCCGGAATTCATGTAACAACCATGTGATTCGCTTAACGGCTGTTGTCGAAAGGTCACAAATTGTGATCACATGACCGTGGGGGTTGTAAAGCACTTTTCCGAAGGCTGTTGTAACTCCAGACCATCATTAAATGAACGGTCGTTAAGCAAGGACTAACTGTATTAACATTCTTAAAATGTGTTCTGTTTTACTGAAGCCTATGAAAGACTTCCCAAGTGCTATTTATATGAACTATTTGCTAATATTATTTTATTTATATTATATTATATAATATAATAAATAATTATATTTATATAATATATAAATATGTGTATTATATATAAATATAATATCTTTATTATATATATAATATATAACATATAAATTATTATTATATTATTTGAGAGAAAATCAGCAGTGTGACAGCATGTACAAGAAGTTAAAATAGAATTGTAGAATAAAATATGATACAGATGGCATATTTATGTTCCAAACTTTGTTCTAATTTTAATACATCTCCTTTAAACTTCTTCCCTGTGGTGTGTAAGAGAGAGAGAGTGGACACAATGAATGGATGAAATATGCATGTTGTCTCCATTACTTTTAGTAATGAAGAATGTTAAGAATGTTAATACAGTTAGTCCTTGCTTAACGACCGTTCATTTAATGACGGTCTGGAGTTACAACAGCCTTCGGAAAAGTGCTTTACAACCCCCATGGTCATGTGATCACAATTTGTGACCTTTCGACAATGGCCGTTAAGTCTAGATAACTAAGACGGTTTTACATTTTAAACTGACTTGACAGTCTCTTTAAATGTGGTATTTTTCTTAAAGGCTAGGAGGAGTTTCTGTTGTTATAGTGGTATTGAATTCCCTTTTTGGTTTGTTTTTAATTGGTTTGAATTGTACATCATAGCTGTGTTTATTACAGTTTTAAAGCTAAGACAGAATTGAGCTTGAGGACAAATGGTTGGGTTCCGTTGCATAAATATAATAAAGTCAGAAGAAGCCTTAGAGCCTGCAGACATGGGGATCCTCCTGTGTTCCCCCTTGCCTCTTGACTGCACGCAGTGGAGCTACAGAGTCTGGGGTGCAGAAACCTGCATGACATCAGTTCTCGGCAAGGAGAGCTTTCTGTATCTGGTGGTTGTCTGGATTCTTGCAGCCAGGGCACTGTGGCTGAAGTGCAGGACCCTAATGAGAAGAATTGCCAAAGAGCAGTGGCGTGACCTCTTTTTCTGCTGCTCTCTGGTAGAGAATAGCAATTAGGATGATCAGACATAACTGCGGCCTCTCTGTTTTACGTCCCCTGTCCTTCCTTTAAGATTGAAAATCTTCAGGAGCAATTAAGAGACAAAGAGAAACAAATGAGCAGTTTGAAAGAGAGGGTGAAATCCCTGCAGGCTGATACCACTAACACCGATACCGCCTTGACCACGCTAGAGGAAGCGCTCGCAGAAAAGGTGAGTCTGAAGGAAAGGCAGTAGCATTATTTAAAGATTGTGTCTTCCTCACCATAGAAAAGCAGCATCTGTTTGTGAAGTAATTGTTCTCTTCGTTCTCTTTCACTTATTTCGTAAGTATAATTTGTATAATTTTTTCCCTGTATTCTCTTTCACTTATTTGATTGCTTCAAACAAATAGAAGAAAAATAGGCATGCATACAACAGTATTCACAATAGAATACAAAGTTAAATAATTGTGGTAATGATAAAAAAATAAAGGGAAAGGAGGGGGGAAGGCCTGGAAAATTATGTAACAAGGAGAAAAATTCCCCCACCCTATGACTATGTTAATAAATATAAAGACATATTTTTCTTTCCCCCAGTGTCAAAAGGAAAAAAAAAACTAATTGAGATAATGGCATTGCTGGGGTTGCTTAATGAGACTAGAATCCTGGAGTCCATAGGATTCTGATGAAGTTTAACATTAAATAGTGAAAATAGTCTTGCATGACAATTTTTGGTTCTCATTTTTCTGTAAAGAAGTGGTAACTACTGAATATAAAGGCTTGGTCACCTATACTGAAATTGAATGTTAACTAAATCCTTCTAACCCCTTTTCCTTCAGTTCCCTTTACCTTGTGGAAAGAATTATGCTTACTGAAATCTCAGTGTGGCTACAGTCACTCTAAAGTGAATTTATAAACTTGCCCCATATACTAAATGGTTATTTCAAATTAAAGCTTTCAATTTTTTTTAATTCAAAACTGTTACATTTCCACAATTTGCTTTATTTAATATGTTTCTAACATTATCCCCGATCCCTCCACTGTGAAGCTCCTTTCTTTGCAGTTGATATTGTTTTATTGCATTCTTTTGTCATTTTTGTTAATGTTAGTAATGCCTATTTCAGAAACAGTGATTCTGCTGTCCCACTTCTTTGTTTCTGGAAGTACAATCTTTGCAATGTATTTAATAAATCTATTTATTTCAAATGTTGACCATTTAATGATTACAAATAAAATGATTGTAAGCATTTATTTAATACCATGTTCCTATGTATCCTTTAAAATCCAATGAATTGAATTTATTGGGGCTTGTTGGGGCTTGTGTTCTGAGTGAGATTGGACCTTTTCAGAATTAAGCATTTGTATGTCCATTAAAAGATGATATTTCTTTGACAATAATATTGTCAATATTATTCTGTTTTTGCCAGGAGCGTACTATTGAGCGTCTCAAGGAGCAGCGTGACAGAGATGAGCGAGAAAAACAAGAAGAGATTGATAACTATAAAAAAGATATTAAAGACCTTAAAGAGAAAGTCAGCGTCTTGCAAGCAGATCTTTCAGAGAAGGAGGTTAATCTCAGAGATGCAAATATAAATTTTGGAGTTGCAGTATTGAAGGGCTTAGAACAGTTTTACTCACCTACTGTTTTCTTCTGTACTTGGAACAAGACTTCATGTGATGTTTTCAGTATTTCATGTTGGAGCACTTTCTGGCATGGGGTTATGTGTGGTTTGTGATCTATTTTTTTTTTTTCAATCCAGCTTAAGCCATATAGTAGCTGGGACCATCCAAGAGCTGTAACAAAGCAACAGTTACTTAAACCTATCATTAGGACTAAAGAGCCATTGTGCACTTTGCACAATCAAGGTGCTGCAGCTAACTGAATCATGACAAATGCTGCTGAGTTGTAAGTTGTAAATGCAAGGACCAGTAATAGTACTGAGTTAATATGGTTTAAACTAGTCTGTTGAATTTGGGACTGTGTGTGCACTGTTGCTGATGAGCTTGTAAATGGATGGATGTAAATGGATTAGAAAATGGATCCTTAATTAGTGTTAATGATATTCATGAAAGAGTGCGGTGGCGGCGGCACTTTTTTTCCCCCAACCCACAAAAGCCAAAGTAGTATAGAAGTCTGGCAAAGAGCAGCTGACCAGTTGTTTTTTATTGGGCTTCTGCTTATGAGGCTGAAAGGCCTTGTACTCCTTGAAAGTAGAGCAGTGGTTTCTTACTGGAATTTTTAAAATAAAAATGATTATCTTGGTGAATTTTTTCTGCAGAATGGATGACAGACACTGATACGTGTTATCCTTGGGTGAAAAATAAGGGAGGGAAAGGCTTATTCCAAATCCCATGATTTTCTGCAGCCAGAATACATGAAACATTTTAAGTTTTATTCTGTTGGAATGGTTGAATTACTTCCACATTTGTTTCATTGGAAAATAGTCCATTTAGAATGTTTTGGGAGGGGGTTTATTGTTCTGAAATCAAAGCAAAATATGTTTCTCATTTTATACACCCATATACATTCTACTAGATGAAACAAACCTTTATGTTGTACAACGGACCGCTTTCTCAAACTGGTTTGTGGATTTCTGTTAAAGCTTAAATGCATTTAATATTTTTATTAGTCTTGAAGGTGCTCCGAAACTCTTGTTACTTATTTAAACAAATTAATAACACAGCTACCACACTGGAAATAGCATAACAGCTATTTTGAAATCATGTATCCTTTAATAACTTTTAAACATTAATAACTAACTTGTATTTAAACACATTTCAGTGTTGATTCTAAAAAATGGTTTGTGTAGAGCAGTTATATGTTACTGTGATGTAGTATTCAGGCTAATGAAGGAACAAGATAAATATTTGAGAGTGGGGCTACTATCTGTCCATGCATTTATTGTCTTGTAGACTACACTCCTGGATTTGAAGGAACATGCCTCGTCGTTAGCATCATCAGGATTGAAAAAAGACTCTAGACTGAAGACATTAGAAATTGCCTTGGAGCAAAAGAAGGAAGAATGTCTGAAATTTGAATCTCAGTTGAAAAAGGTAAACATCGTATACCTGTCTCCTCTTAAAATGAAATGTTAATTATGAATTAAATATTATTTCAATGTATCGTTCATTGCTATGCAAAATAAGTTGTGAAATTATTGCACTTCTGCTAGGGCAGAAGAACCTGCCCACTTTTCATATGATATTTAAAATCAAGTAACCTGCTTCTTTATAGCACACAGCAGTGTTCAAAGGGTTACCGAGTACTAATGATGAAGTAGAAATAAATCAGTTGAACATCCATATATGTTGAACGAGTGCTCAAAGAGGTGTTATAAGTGAATGTCTGCAAGTTAGAATCATAAGAGAACTCAGATTATGAACCAGGGAAAGCTACTGAAGCTCTTTATGGGAATACTTCCAATCTGGAATGGTGACTTTTTTCCTTTTGGCTTTCTGAAATCACCATATTTAGGGAAGACAGGAGATTTGTCTGATTTCTGTCCGCAGCCGCAAGCTTCCATAAATAGAAATTGGCCAAAAAAAGCATCTTAACTGGCAGGAGAGATGGACACCTGTCTATGCTAACCTGTCAATAACATTGCATAGCATAGACTCTATCCAGCCAGTAAAACTTAATTTTAAGACAGTAAGTCTCTTGGAGAATGTCCGTGGTAAGATGTGTTTCATCCATTTCCTGCAGTTGTCATCGGGTCACTAGTAATAACAGTGGAATTTGTAGGGATTCCCAGGAAGCCCGCAAGGCATTACAGTGAAGTTGTCAGGACTAAAATCTAAGTTTCTTGAGATACTCAAACAAAAACAAAAGCTGGCAGCAGCTGGAAAGAAAAAACCTGTAAAGACTCTCCAGTAAAAAATTAAGAAATATTGCAGTATAATTTATACCTATTATTACTTTTTTAAAAAGACTCATTCTGTTACTTCTAGGATAGGTGAAAATACTCAGTATAAAAATAAAGTTAATATTGGACACTCATATATTAATAGACCTAGAAAATACTTTATTGTGCTGGTCTATGACTGTAGTAAAAGTTTGATTTGATAGATTTGATTTCATTTGAATATTTTATAGAGTAAGAGAGTACAGCCATTGATGTTCAAGAATTAATATAACTTTAAAAGAGGAACATATGACAAAAGGATCTTTTGGCATTTGGGATTTACAAGATGGTTGTTATAAAGGAGATATCTAAAGGCAAAAAAAGATACTAAAGGTCACATTACTAATACTAAAAATGTTAGTAAAAAGTTTATCAGTTTTTAAAAAGAATTATGCATTTCTAAAAGCCCAGCAATAGAAAAAATATTTAGATAAATTGCATTTTTCAGAATTATCCTTAATGAATGCCCAATATTTGGATTCTCTGTTTTCAACTTTGATGAAGTTGATGAAGTCTTAAAAAATATTTAACAAGTGAATTCTGTAAGTTGTACCTGAATTCATGTCACTAAGCAATGCACCAAGAGATCTTCCATTATCCTGGTGCAACTCTAAAATAACCCTAATTCCTAAACCAGATAAAGATCTGCTAGGAGTTTCCTCTTACAAACCTGTGTGTTTACTCAATCTTGGTTATATGCTAAACTGTAATCTCAGGCTTTCAAGGTAGGCCAGGTCAGGAAACAGACTTCATAAGTCTAAACTTTATTGATACAGAATCTTGAGAGCCTGACTGAGTTTTCCTTTCCATCCTTCTTATACTCTAGTAAATTAAGATGGAGTCAGTCTGAGCTTCTTTCTCGTGTTTTCTGTTTCCCAGGCTTAAAGCATGTTTTCGAAATCACTTTCAAAGGACAGCAGGGAAAGCTGAGGTCTGTGCCAAAAGTTTACTTAAACTGTATAATT